AGGTCAAAGTCGTTGGAAAAATGTTACAATTGCTTGTGTATGCTTAAAAACATGACCTTTGACCTTCATATTTGACCTTGACGTTTGACCCTTACTCAGAAGTAATAAGGAAATATCCATCACCTTTACCTAGATTAAGATTGAAGAGTTAATCACAAGTAGATCAGGGTTTTTCTTGATGACTTTGACCTTTGACCCCATTGACCCAAAGTTCACAATCAAGCTAAAGGTCGTGGAGATATTTACAACCATCTCTCTTACAAATGCTTATAAAATACCCCCCTCCTATAAAAAAAAAAATCAGCACCAGCCTAGAGAAATAGTTTAAAACTCAAACGACAAGACAGATCGACATGAAGTTCAGTATATTAGAAAGAAGAGACCTTAAAACAAGTGTCCTGAGAGTTTTAAGGTGAGTCTTTCAAGTATAATGAAATTCTAGTGAATATCGGCAAAATCTGCATTTTTTTCTGTCTGAAATTTAGTTATTGCTGAACATAAAAATTAATTAAAGCTCGTATTGGCTATTTCTGCAATTATTGTTAATATCATTCGATTCTCCTGCTCTATCACGACAGTTTAATACCAAGTATTCTTGCTTTCTTAGCTGTATGGAATTTATTTCAATTTTATTTAGATTTAAATATGAATCGACAGAATCTCGGAAATAGCGATTTGTCATAATAGTTAAATTTCCACGCAATTTAGATAGGTTAAATCAATTGCAGTTACCCCTCTTTATACGATATGGTGTTGAAAAAATACCAATGACTCACTCACTGTTTTTCCGGGATTTTAAATTTCCTCTGCAACTGACCACGTGTATTACTTTCGCTTTTAAAACTCTGTATATGCTAAGTGTCATTGCTTCACTGCAAATGTGTCCCATAATTATTCCATCATTTTCCTACATACAATATCACATCAAACAGGCAATATTTCAGTTTTTTAAAGAAATTTGACCGGTACTTTCCTACGAAACTATTCTCTTCCACCTTAAAAAATTACTTTACTAAATACGCCTACACCTTGTACTTGTATAGAACTTGATGGCTCAATGGTTATCGAGTCCGACTTACAAACTAAGGGTAGTAGGTTCAAGCCCAGCTGGAGGAACTTTTTTTCATTTTTTTTTTTTCAATTTTTCTTTTTTAATTCAAATGACATGAAAACTTTAAAAAGATGGAAAGCCATTAAATGTTCAGTGAACAATTAGTCTACTAGTTCTTTTTCTGCCGGACTTTTGAAACCGCAAGACTTATCGGAAATTTTTTTAGTTCATGATATTGGATATTTAAAGTCATTCCGAAAAACGACCCAAGAAGTTTGAACTTTGACCCCTTTCGAAGTTATTGCCCTTTACGCAAGAAATGCTTGTTATCGCTTCTCCTCCGAAACCGTAAACCGTATAGGTATGAAACCTTCACTAATGTCTTTGACTACTTGAGAGGATCTTTCAATCTATGCATTGTGAAAGGATCCATAGACCCCTTATATGAGTTATTGCCCCCGAAAGTTTTTAAATTTTACAAATAATTAAAAATTTTCAAAACGAGCAGTCGTAGAGACATTGGACCAACTGCATAAGATTCATTTACTTTTGACACTTAAAATTTGAGCAAAGGTCAAAGATCAAGTTCATTCCACAAGTGAGAAATTAAGCTATTTTAATCTCTTTCAACCTATATCATCTGTCTATGCATCATTAAAATGCACTCTTAAAACTATTTCAAAGATTACAATCTTGTCCCTTAAGATTAACCCTTGAAAAAGTTATATCCCCTTTTGTGAAAAACCTTATCGCTACTCCTCCGAAACTGTAGACCGTAGATACACCAAACCTTCACTAATGTCTTAAGGGACTTTATGCCATACTTCACTGTTTAAGCGCAAAAGGATCTGATGACCCTTATGTGAGTTATTGCCCTTTAACTTCTTTGTACTTACTATTAGACCTTATAACTTGAAAACTATAAGTCATAGAAGCATGGGGTCAATTGCATTATGACCCTTGACCTTTGACCTTGAATATTTGTTCAAAGTCATATAGCCATGGGACTTAGTGCATAAGATTCATTGACGTTTGACCTTAAAATTTATGCAAAGGTCAAAGGTCATTCCAAAAATGAGAAATTAAGCTTTTTATATAACTCTTTTGTACGTCTTTCAACATATACTTTATGTCTTTGCATCATTGATAATTATGTCCTCTTAAAGCTATTTCAAAGATATTATTCTTGTCCCCTAAGATTGACCCTATTAAAAGTTATTGCCCCTTGTTCGAAAAACCTTATCGCTACTCCTTCGAAACCGTAGAGACACCAAACTTTCACTAATGTCTTAAGGATCTTTAGTCATAACTTCATTGTATAAATGCAAAAGGATCTGATGACCCTTATGTAAGTTATCGCCCTTTAACATCCTTGTACTTACTATTAAACCTTATAACTTGAAAATTATAAGTCGTATAAGCATGGGGTCAATTGCATTGTGACCCTTGACCTTAAAAATTCATTCAAGGTCAAAGGTCAAGGTCATTTCATTTTTTTTTTAATTTTTCATTTTTCTATCCTTTAAGACAATTTTGGTTTCTTATTCATAGAATTTAATTTCAAGGAGTCAGATATAAAACAAAATTGAAATTCAAAGAAGGTGGAAAGACCTCTTATTGTTCTCTGAACAGTAAGTCTCCTAGTTAATTTTATTCTGCGGATGAGTAGCCAAATATGTAAAAATCACAAGCATTCCGAGTATTACAAAAGCAATACATGTCCCGTACCGGGTTCCCCTTTTCTCTCTGTTTAGATGTCAGTTTATAATATCTTTTTTATGATAAAGCTACCCAGCAAGTTTCAAAGTAATAATTTTAACATTGCAATCTCGTTTAGATCATTTATTTAGTGCAGCACGAACCCAATCTGAAACCATATTATGAAAAATTAAAAATGCCATAATATCTTCAAAAATCAATGAAGCGTAACATTCAAACTTGATCTGTAACTTATCAACATGCACTCGCATACCAAAAATCGTTTAGAAAAAAAAAAGTTTGGAAGAGTAAGTGAGATAGAATGACAGACGGCTAGACGCTAGAGAGAAAGACGGACGGAAAGCTAGACGGACGGACGGAGGGGACTTAAAATATAAATTTGAGTATAACGTCTTCAATAATTAAGGTATACTCCGATTGGGGCTGCCACGATTAACCGAAATATCGGTTAACCGCGATTCACAATCTTTCGGTTTGATTCGGTACGTTTTTCCAAGATTTCGATTCGATTCAGGTTTGATTTTTTCATACTAACATTTGCTGTTGTTACGCATTCCGATAGGTTAATCGGAAGAAATTGTGGCAAATCATGTTAACGGAAACAAAAACATGAAAATGGCCGCGAAGAAGTCGACGGGGGACTACTTCCAAGTTCCATTTTCGACAGAAAGATGGCACAAAGTATATTAGATTTACTAAAAGGCAACACCGCTCAGCCACATAATTCTAAATTTAGAGGAACCGGCACAGTGCTGCGAATTTCCTTATTTTTATTTAATATTGAGATCGTTTTGAATGTGAAATAATTATTGACATTCTTGTTATGACCGTTAGGTGGTTCGATATCGTATTGGTGCATCAAGAATTTAAAAAAACGGCAGAGATCTAACCCTTTCTATTGTGGCCAAACAGCCGTTGTAAGCAAATCACCAATACTTTTATGTTAAGCATAATAATTGATATGAAATCATTGGTTGTTTGAAAGATTTGTTCGCATGTTTCATTTTTTAAAACCCATGACCAGCATTTTTTATAATTTGGATTGCAGACATTTGATTCTCTGGGTCATACTTTGTAATTAGAACATTAGGTATTTTCTTTGTTTTCTTGCCTTTACATTCCATTTTATTTTAATAAACCTTAGAAAAGTATGAATTATTATTTATTAAAGAATGTCTTCTGATTGTGATAATCAAAGATTACAGATTTTTTTTACAAAAAATAAAACGAAATCTATTTCTTATAATCGAACCGAAATTATTCGAAAATCGAAGTTTTTGTTTGAACCGAATCGATTCTAATATTAACTAATTCGTGGCAGCCTTAACTCCGATCTTCAGTCAGGTAGGATAACTCTTTAATTTATTATTTAGTTCAAATGGTCTCAAAATGAAGCTTGAAAATTAATCTTTTCATGCAACAATTTTCATTTTATACCTCTTTATGTGTTCTTTGAAGTTATCAGGAAGGTCTTATAAAAAGTCAAAATATTTACCCCAAAAAGTACTTTAAAGTTACTTATATTTAAAGAAATTGTGTTTCTTTTAATCTTATCATAGATACCAATTTTTATTTACATTATATGAAATTAGATGTGATTGATGGTTCTTTGCAATGAAAGGAAACTGTTTATACACAATAGATTGTAAATATGATCGAAGTAAATGGAGGAAATTAAACTACCTTAAAAAAAAATTTGCAATTTCTACAAAAGCCTATACCTATGATTTTTATTTCTTAATTTTATTTTTTTTTAATCAAATTTGAATGAAAAAATGCATAGTATGTGTTTTTATTCGCATATTTGAACATTTATTTCAGATTAACTAATTTTCCCTACACAATATAATTAGCTTTAAAGATGAAGTTTGAAGAATTATCGTGGATAAACGTACATTACTTTGATAATTCAGTGAAACTTTTGTGAGCATTTTCAATTAGTCAAGGCATGATATGATTTTCAGAAACTGAGGATCGGAGTACTTAAAAGTAATGGAAAATTAAGCACTCTCCCATCCCAACAAAAATTAAGGGATCATACTATCACATATGATGTGTTCTTATAACATTAATTGCTTCGTCAAGCAAGCTTTTTGATAACGATTACTTGCTAAGCACACACACCCGACCTCCCTCACAGACCCTCAGAGAGAGAGAGAGAGAGAGAGAGAGAGAGAGAGAGAGAGAGAGAGAGAGAGAGAGAGAGAGAGAGAGAGTAACATTTACTTACTTGTATAAATTGTTTGCTTAAACTTTTTTGAAAATTTCAACGCTTCCTTCGCAAACGCTGCAATCGTGATGTCATATGTCATTCCAGGCCTTAGTTTATCTATTGTTATGTTTTGAGCAGTTCTATTAACAAGCATAGCCTGTCTATTTTCAATCATAGGGGTTTCACCCAGATCTACTTGAAATGTAGTAATGCCTCTTGATATACAACTTGTCATGTTTAAAATCACTGAATCATTTGTAACGTCTTTAACCAGAGAATCACTGCATCTTGGAGTTTCTATTTCTGAAAGAAAGATTTTATGATCATACCAACATAAATTACGTTTATTTACGAGTATACAAAAACTTTTCATTTGTTCATCTTTAAATCAACTAAAACAGAACCGCACAGCTCTGAATGACTTCAAAAATAATTTCCATTTTAATTAATACCTTCTGGAAAAAAACAACTGGTATTTATAATTTGAAAAAAATTAAAGAAGTTATATTTATATTCATCAGTACTAGCTATAGATTGAAAATACGGACTTAATCGCAGTGGTAAAATTTAGAAATGTATTCAAAATAAAGTACTATCTTCCTTATGCAAAGCTTTTTTATCCTTCTTATTTGACATTAGTCTTTGACACTTCTTTTCAATATTTAAATATTTCGGTTTACCAATGTTTCGGTACGATCTTGTGCATGACTAAAGAGATATAATGTGCTGAAATGCGCATCTGGTGCATCGAAACTAGTTACCTACAAGACTTTCAAAAAAAGAGGCTAAAAGGCCACATCGCTCACCTGAGGTGCTTTGACCATGCTGTTCTTTACCAGATTTCCCCCTTGTTATACCTATTGTGACCCTATCATAACCTACGGACCATAATTTGGACAAATTAAAATCTACGCTATCAAAGGATGCTTCCAAATAAGTTTCAGCTTTTCTGGTCCATTGGTTCTTGAGGAGAAGATTTTTCAAAGATTTTTCTTATATATTTCTATGTTAAACTTTGATTCCCCCTTGTGGCCCCGCCCAACCCCCAGAGTCATGATATGAACAATTTAAAATCTACACAACCCCAGGATGCTTCCATACAAAATTCATTTTTCTAGCCCAGAGGTTCTTGAGAGGAAGAATTTTTAATGACCCACCTTAATTTTGTCTTTTCTTTATTATCTCCCATTGTGAGGGGACTCGGACCTTCATTTTAACACTTTGAATTTCCCTTCAGTCAATCATGCGTTGTAGCAAGTTTGGTCAAAATTCGTCCAGTGGTTCTTGAGAAGAAGTCGAAAATGTGAAAAGTTTACAGACGGAAAGACAGAAAGACGGCTAGATAGACGGATGGACAAAAGTGATCAGAAAAGCTCACTTGAGCCTTCGACTCAGGTGAGCTAAAAACCCAAATGCACATTTCTGGTGCACAATAATATTGTGGTACACATGCAAAGGAATCTATGAATGTAATGCACAGCATGACTTACTGTATTTTGCAGTTTATGTTTTGTAATGACTTCATTTTATCTGATAATCAAATTGTCTTATGAGATCTTTTTCAACATAACTGAATATTTTTATATAATTTACAAGAATAAATGGAAGTATTATTAACATAAATAAGCATTATTTTTCTCACTGAATGAAATGATGTGTATCAACAAAAATATTTACCAATTGTTTTACTGAATTTACAGGGTTCATTTGTCCAAAGATTAGAAACTCCTTCTGCTATGACTGAGAAATCATACGTTATTCCCGGCTTTAGTGTAAGATTCATTATATTTCTATCTAAAGGAAAAGATTTATTCTTTATATTGGAAGACCATGTCACAAAGATCCTGTTTAGTCGGGCATGGTACTGCTCCGGATATTCGAGTTTGTAACTTTCATTAATCAAGACAACCTTGAAAGCCGTGCAGTTCAAAACAGGATCTACAGAAAAACAAAATAAACTTCATGTTTCAAATCTTACTGCAAATGTCAGTAATAGATCAGTTAGGTTTAAGGAACAGTTATACTCAATGGGTAACTCCACAAAACTATATAAATCAAAATAAATTATATAGGCAGACAATTAAAGACGAGACACAAAAGCTTGTTATGTCTTACACGGTTTTCAGGGCATATTTCCTACTATGCGTTTCTTTTTTTGAAGAGTATATATTGTCTTTCTGAATAAACACCTTATGTCTCTTTGAGTATACTTACACGTAGTAACATTGAAATGGCAATTATTACTACTTAGTTCAAATCCCTGTGAAAAATTTACTGCTGCATATAACATTAACTGATATGCCGTTGATGACGTCAGATTTTTTAATTCTAAAATATCCACAATTCGGTGCTTATAGATGACGTCATTTCCATTTGAAGTGATAATGAAATGACTGGCGTCTTTTCTCCCAACAGAAGACACATTAATATTTGTTTCATGTGCCGTTGTCTGAACAGTTAAGTTTCTGCACTGGTAGATGAGTGGTTCTTAAAAAAGAAAAAAAGAGCAATTAAATGGAAAGTGTACATACTGTACATTTATCAAATATATAAACTAATTTTTTTCTATAAAGTGTCCCATTCCATTTGCATTTATAATAATGATAATGATAAAATATTTAATGATATTAACGTTAAACAGTGATTACTTGGAGCACAGGTGTTTCCGTCCCAGAATGTATTATTTGGGCATTGGCATGTTTTATGGCATTCAAAACCCTCTTTGCATTCATTTGAATTCGAACAGGATTCGTCGTGAGATTTTCCTAAATACCGAGAAATAAGTAATCTTATTTTAACATAATAATGCATCAATTCACAAACATTTAAGAATGCTAAAAAGAACCATATCATCTTTGATAATTCATATTTCTTAAGGACCTCGTAGACTTAAAATGTGTAAAACTTAATGTTTGATGATAATTGTTTAATAATTACGATACAATAAATTCTTGTCTAACAAAACATTACGAACTTTTTATATATAAAAATCAGCTTATTAAAAATGACATCAATAATTTACGCGATAAAAGAAACGAAATAGTCAAAATAAAGTCATGCACTTATAAGATTAGTTAATCAACGTATTTTGAGAACATATTTTGTCCTCTCAAAATGTCATCGTGAGGTCTTAACTTTGGCAGATGTCATCCTGGCATTGAAAATCTCTACATTGTACATAGTGAAGAAACAGTGCTATCCCCCAATATGTTTTTCATATAATATATTATAAAATATTTAATGATATTAACGTTAAACAGTGATTACTTGGAGCACAGGTGTTTCCGTCCCAGAATGTATTATTTGGGCATTGGCATGTTTTATGGCATTCAAAACCCTCTTTGCATTCATTTGAATTCGAACAGAATTCGTCGTGAGATTTTCCTAAATAATCTTATTTTAACATAATAATGCATCAATTCACAAACATTTAAGAATGATAAAAAAGAACCGTATCATCTTTTATAATTTATATTTCTTAAGGACCTCGTAGACTTAAAATGTATAAAACTTAATGTTTGATGATAATTGTGTAATAATTACGATACAATAAATTCTTGTCTAACAAAACATTACGAACTTTCTATAGATAAAAATCAGCTTATTAAAAAAGACATCAATAATTTACGCGATAAAGGAAACGAAACAGTCAGAATAAAGTCATGCACTTATAAGATTAGTTAATCAACGTACTTTGAGAACATAACTTATGAGGTCATAACTTTGGCAGATGCCATCCTGGCATTGAAAATCTCTACATTGTACATAGTGAAGAAACAGTGCTATCCCCCGTTATGTTTTTCCTATTTGATAACAGAACAGATTAATTATGCAACTTTTATACATGTAAATTTCGTACAGTTGAATGAGTGCTCGCTGCATGATCGGAAAGTCCAACCTAGGCCGCGACTGACTTAAGTCTAATTTACAACAAATCTTAAACTAATATAACTGCCTTTAGTGAAGAAATATTAATTTAGAAAGCGCAAAGAAATTCACTTTGATAAGGATAAGGAATTATTATAAATTGTGCTTTATTAATAAAATTAATTTCATTTCAATATGTACTGGTAACGATCCCCTAAAAACTAACGTCCAAACAACTATATCTCACTTCTATTCTCAATGACCGTGTAGTGTAGGGCAGTGCTGTGAGAATTCCATCGGCATCGAAAGCAATTTTTGACTTGCCTAGATAGCTGAACGGTATAATACAGCTAGGAGATACATGTAGATTCCGTTGGTCGAGGGTTGCTTGGGAGGAAGAGGGTATCTTTAAAAAAGGGAATTTCTTTGTGCTTTCTATTTTAATATTTCTTCACCTAGGGCAGTTATATTAGGTTAAGACTTGTTGTTAATTGTGCTTTATAATTAAATTAATTTCATTACAACAGGTATTGGTAATGATCCTCTAGAACTAATGTCCAAATAACTATATCTCAATTCTATTCTCAATGATCCTGTAGTGTACGTAGGGCATCGCTGTGAGAATTCTGTCGGCTTCGAAAGCTAGTTTTTTGACTTGCCTAGATAGCCCAGCAGTCTAACGCGCTGTTTCTGTTCTGTTAGGATTCCGTAGGTCGAGAGTTCAACCCCGGGCTGGGGCTGATGTGGGTATCCTTATATAAGTGAGTTTCTTTGTATGACTGTATGAATTTAAATGAATACTTTGTTACCATGGTAATGTATGTTAAAGTTGATTTACCAAATATGTTTGTCATGAGTTTAGACAGCAGGGATTGTTTGAGTCAATGTTTTTGAGATATTTAGACCATTTACAATTATTTCGGGGGGGGGGGTCTCAATTTGTCTTGACCTATATACTGCTAAATGTATCTTGACACATCCATGCCAAAAAGATTGTATAAATATATATATTGTAATTGGGTTTGAGGAAAACTTTCAAAGGTTTGGATTTTTGTTTGAAAGCAAAAGGGGGCTTTTTTTTTATTACTTACAGGAACCATGACCTGTATTAGGTCTCGTGTTTCAAGACAAAAATAATAGAATTCTCCATGGTTAATATCTTATATATTTGATAGATATTTCCAAATTCAGTAGGTGGGAATGAATGGCAGTCCTGATGATAAAGATGGAATAAAGTGGATTTCTGTTGTAACAATTTAAATCCATTGACATTGTAAGACATGTGATTTCCTACACCACAGTAGCTTTAATATGAATCAAAGACCACGTGCGAATCAAAACTATGGTAAACAAGTTCCACCTCATAAATTCGTGAGCATGCTTGTTACCTCAGGGGTTGCAAAAATCTATCTAAAATTTTACAAAACGAGATAGTCTAGGCAAAATTGACAGGAAACTAAATGAATTAATAAAGTATTTGGAGGAAGTCAATGGAGTTATCCGGGTAGGTTAAGAAATCAGCCCCCATATCTTTTTATAATCCCCCCCCCCCCCCCGCAATTGTCGTTTTCGCATCTAAACTTTTCAATTTTATAAATATTCTCTCGCACTTCAAAATATCATTTGCTGTTTCACAGCAACACTAACAGATTCATCAACTTCCAAACTAATCTGTGTTTTCTCCACAGAGGAACATTTCAATATTTTACAAATGCATATTGGATTTATGCTCACCTATGCATGTCATTGTTTCCATGCATAGGATTTTGAACGAATTCCGCTTCACATGAATACAAAAATATGTCTGTTAATAGCTTGTGAATCATTGACGCCCCCGTATGGCAACAATACATTAGTACCCAGAGGAGGATATTCTCAGTGGAACTACAACTGTGAAATAGGAAAGTAGGCCAAGGTTAAAGTTTTTTCTTAAGTATGGAAATCTCCAAAGTCTAGGTCAAAAAGTCAGTGTAATTAGTATTCAACGAAAGGACTGGCCACAAAGAATTTCTAAGTGCAGTATAGAAGCCCTATCCCTAACCCTACAAAAGTTATGACCAAGGTTAAAAATTCTAAATTGCTGGTTAAAAACCATGGCCAATGTAAAAGGGTCAAAGTTCTTGATATCAAACGAAAGGTCTTTTCACAAGGATTAAATATTTAAAGCATGAAAAGACTAACACTAACCCTTTAAAAGTTTTGGTTGAGATTTGCTTTTTTAAAGGTCAAACTCCAAGGTCACGGTTAAAGAGTTAAAGTTCTTTTCACGAGGATTACATATGTGAAGTATGAAAGCACTAGCCCTTACCGTTCAAAGCTTATGGCCAAGGTTAAAGTTTTTTTCATAAGTACGGAAATCTTCAAGGTCAAAATGTCAAAGTTGTTGGTATCCAATGAAAGGTCTCTCCATAAATAAAACATATATGAAGAATTGAAGTCCTGGTGTCTACTGTTCAAAAGATATGGTCAAGTAAAAGTTTGGTATTTTTGTGTAAAAGTGGGTAAAATTCGAAGGTCAAGGTCAAATTTAGTGGTACCCTAAGAAATGTCTTGTCATAAGGAATATGAAATATGTAAGTCATAGCTCCACGTCCAAACAACTATATCTCACTTCTATTCTCAATGACCGTGTAGTGTAGGGCAGTGCTGTGAGAATTCCATCGGCATCGAAAGCAATTTTTGACTTGCCTAGATAGCTGAACGGTATAATACAGCTAGGAGATACATGTAGATTCCGTTGGTCGAGGGTTGCTTGGGAGGAAGAGGGTATCTTTAAAAAAGGGAATTTCTTTGTGCTTTCTATTTTAATATTTCTTCACCTAGGGCAGTTATATTAGGTAAAGACTTGTTGTTAATTGTGCTTTATAATTAAATTAATTTCATTACAACAGGTATTGGTAATGATCCTCTAGAACTAATGTCCAAATAACTATATCTCAATTCTATTCTCAATGATCCTGTAGTGTACGTAGGGCATCGCTGTGAGAATTCTGTCGGCTTCGAAAGCTAGTTTTTTGACTTGCCTAGATAGCCCAGCAGTCTAACGCGCTGTTTCTGTTCTGTTAGGATTCCGTAGGTCGAGAGTTCAACCCCGGGCTGGGGCTGATGTGGGTATCCTTATATAAGTGAGTTTCTTTGTATGACTGTATGAATTTAAATGAATACTTTGTTACCATGGTAATGTATGTTAAAGTTGATTTACCAAATATGTTTGTCATGAGTTTAGACAGCAGGGATTGTTTGAGTCAATGTTTTTGAGATATTTAGACCATTTACAATTATTTCGGGGGGGGGGGGTCTCAATTTGTCTTGACCTATATACTGCTAAATGTATCTTGACACATCCATGCCAAAAAGATTGTATAAATATATATATTGTAATTGGGTTTGAGGAAAACTTTCAAAGGTTTGGATTTTTGTTTGAAAGCAAAAGGGGGCTTTTTTTTTATTACTTACAGGAACCATGACCTGTATTAGGTCTCGTGTTTCAAGACAAAAATAATAGAATTCTCCATGGTTAAAATCTTATATATTTTATAGATATTTCCAAATTCAGTAGGTGGGAATGAATGGCAGTCC